TCACTGCGGCTGGCGGCCGGGCCCGGCCCGCGAGTGTCCGCCAAGCCGGGGGAAGCGATGCAAGTGGGTGTGGTCAGGCTGTTGATTCTCTTCTCTGCGCCGGCCCGCGCGCGCCCCGGGCCCGCGCTGACGCCCCCTCTTTTCTCTTCTCGTTCTTCTTCTAGGAGGAGAGTTAATTTTGCCCATTATCACGGAGGACTCCTTAGACCCCCCTCCCGTGGCCACCCGCTCCCCCTTCGTGCCCCCGCCCCCCACCTTCTACCCCTTCCTCACCGGCCTGGGTGCCACCCAAGACACCCTGCCCCCGCCCGCCGCGCGCCGCCCGGCCCCCGGGGGCCCGTGCCAGGCCGAGCGCGAGGACAGCGACTGCGAGGAGCCCATCGAGGCCTCGGGCTTCGCCTCCGGGGAGGTCTTTGACTCCAGCCTCCCCCCGACGGACGACGAGGACTTTTACACCACCTTCCCCCTGGTCACGGACCGCACCACGCTCCGGGCCCCCCGCAAACCCGCCCCCCGGCCCAACCTCAGGACAGACGGGGCCACGGGCGCCCCCGGGGTGCTGCTCGCCCCCTCCGCCCCGGCCCCCAACCTGCCCGCGGGCAAAATGAACCACCGAGACCCGCTGCAGCCCCTGCTGGAGAACCCGCCCCCCGCGGGCCCCGGGGCGCCCACGGCCTTCGAGCCCCGCCGGCCGCCGCCGCGCCCCGGCGCCAGCTCAGCGCCCGGCTTCCCCCATCTGCCCACAGCCAGCCCCACGGGGCCCGGGGAGCGGGGCCCGCCGGGCGCCGTGGAGGTGATCCGGGAGTCCAGCAGCACCACGGGCATGGTGGTGGGCATCGTGGCGGCCGCGGCGCTCTGCATCCTCATCCTCCTCTACGCCATGTACAAGTACCGCAACCGCGACGAGGGCTCCTACCAGGTGGACCAGAGCCGGAACTACATCAGTAACTCGGCCCAGAGCAATGGGGCGGTGGTGAAGGAGAAGGCCCCGGCCGCCCCCAAGACGCCCAGCAAGGCCAAGAAGAACAAGGACAAGGAGTATTACGTCTGAGCGTCCCCCTCCCTCCCTCCCACCCGCACCGCCCCACTGCCAGCCGCCCCTCCCGGGAGGGCCCGGAGCAGGGCGCGGCCCGCCGGAGGTGGGGGGGACGCCGGGGGCGCAACCCCGCGGCCTCGGCCTCTCTCACCAGGAGGAAACAAACGCAAAAAAAAAAAAAAAAGAACGAAAGAAGAGAAGGAAACAGAACCCCGTGCTCGTCCCCTTCCTCCCGCCGCGCGCCCGCCGGCCCGCGTCCACCTGTCCGGCCCGCGTCCACCTGTCCGGCCGGCTTCGCGCGCCAGGCAGGGCCCGCGCTGGCAGCCCTGGTTGATTTATTTTTTTAAGGGGGGGTTAGTTTTATTTTGGTGGGGTTGTTGGGCGGGAAGGAAGGCTGGGGTTTTGTAAAGTGTCCACCACGTGTCCCCCTGCGTCCCCCCTCAAGATTTCTTCCCCCCTCTGTTCCTTCCGCCTTCCTTCTCCCAAGCCCCCATCCCAGGCTTGCTGTGTCTCCACACCCCCCTTCCTCGCTTCTTTTTCTTAATTTCCTCTCCTTCCTTCCTTTCTTCCTTTCTTCCTTCCTTTCTTCCTTCCTTCCTTCCTTCCTTCCTTCCTTCCTTCCTTCCTTCCTTCCTTCCTTCCTTCGCTCTGCCTTCCTTTTCCTCCTCCTCCCCTTCCTCTTCTTTTTCGTTTTCTTCTTTTTTATGTATCTGGTTTCTCCTTTTCTTCCCTTTGGGTTTCCAGAGTTGGTGGAACAAGGGTGGGAGGGTGGCCCCGACGTGGCCAGCGGGCAGAGGCAGCGCTGGGGTTGCCCCTCAGTGCCCCCCAACTTCCTCTGGGGCTGCCTCGGGAGGGGGCCTGGGCCTGGCTGAAGGCCTGTTCTGTGTGCTGCCGGGCAACGTGCATTGGGAAGCTGCTGGCGGAGCAGGGTGGGGGGGCGGTGGGGGGGGAAGGCAAATGCAGATATATATTAAAGACAAATAATCTAGATACCGCGAGCAACCGCCTGTGGCAGCCGCCAAGTTGGGCACGGGCAAAGGAGGGAGCGAGCCGGTGTCTGTGGACTGTTGGGGTCACCTCTCGGCCCATAGGCTCCCTGCTCCCCCATTTTTTTTCTCTCTCTCTCTTTGTTAACAAACGTGTCTAAGTCTTGGAAAACACCCCCAACCTTGGAAATGTGTGGGAAAAAGAAAACAAAAACTTTCCAAATTCCAACAGTCCTGTGCAGTTTGTTCAGGGTGGGTCCTAGCTTTGGGCTGGGTTCTGGGCCCAAAGTAGAGGCCCATGAGAACTGGTAAGTACCTCTCAAACTTCTGAGCTGAACAAAGCTTTGGGCTTCTAGTACTCCTGGTGTCTTGTG